TTTTTGTCCGAGTACTGGTCGGTATCTTGTTTCTATTGATGCATCATTTCATGAAAATACACCTTTTTCATCATCTAAGGCAGATATTCGTGAGAGTAATGATGATATTCTCATTTACACGATGACTATTCCTGAGTCCACACTTTCGACAAATATTCCACAAGTTACTGTACCTGACCCTAGGCCTCCCGTACATTTGGTATACACCCGTCGACACAAAGCACCTGTGATTACTTTTCCTGATACTAGTTGGACTCCGATCTCATGTCCTGAACCAGTACCTTCATCTTCAGATCTTGTCTCCACATCAGATCTTGACCTCCCAATAGCACTACGTAAAGGTACACGGTCTTGTACTCATCCTATTTCTTCATTTGTGTCGTACAATCAGTTATCTCCTGCTTCATGTTCTTTTATTGCTTCCATCGATTCTATTTCTGTTCCCAAATCTGTCAAAGAAGCTTTGTCTCATCCTGAATGGCGTCAAGCCATGGTAGAGGAAATGAATGCTTTAGATCTTAATGGTAATTGGGATTTGGTTGACTTGCCTACAGGGAAGAAATCTATTGGATGTAAGTTGGTATTTGCTGTTAAGGTTAACCCAGACGGATCTGTTGCTCGGTTGAAAGCCCGATTAGTTGCGAAGGGATATGCTCAAACCTATGGTGTTGATTATTCTGACACTTTTTCTCCTGTTGCTAAATTAACATCTGTCAGGTTACTTATTTCACTCGCTGCAACTCATGATTGGCACTTACATCAGTTGGACATTAAAAATGCATTTTTGCATGGTGACCTTAAGGAAGAAATCTATATTGAGCAACCTCCGGGATTTGTTGCTCGGGGGAGTATGGTAAAGTTTGTCGACTTCGCAAATCTCTTTATGGTCTGAAACAGAGTCCTCGTGCATGGTTTGGGAAATTCAGTAAATCAATTGAACAATTTGGAATGATAAAAGGCAAATCAGATCACTCTGTCTTTTACAAACAAACAGAACCAGGTGTCACATTACTTATGGTGTATGTTGATGATATTGTGATTACAGGGAGTGATAATGCAGGTATTTTGGCCCTTAAGAATTTTCTGCATAGTCAATTTCAGACGAAAGATCTTGGCTCTTCGAAATACTTTCTGGGAATTGAGATAACACGAAGTAAGAAAGGCATATTTCTATCTCAACGTAAATATGTACTTGACTTACTAGCTGAGACAGGGAAATTAGGGGCAAAACCAAGTACAACACCCATGGTTCCCAACGTGCAACTCACTCAAGAAGGCACACCATTTGAAGACCCAGAAAGATATAGAAGACTGGTTGGAAAGCTTATCTATCTCACATTCACTCGTCCAGATATTGCTTATTCTGTGAGTGTAGTGAGTCAATACATGTCATCTCCAACCATTGATCATTGGGCTGCAGTAGAACACATATTATGTTACTTAAAGGGTGCACCAGGACGAGGTATTGTTTATCAAAACCATGATCACATGAGAATAGAATGTTTTGCAGATGCTGATTGGGCCGGTTCTAAAGATGATCTTGGTTATTGTGTCTTTGTTGGTGGTAATCTTGTATCTTGGAAGAGTAAGAAGCAGAATGTGGTCTCTCGTTCGAGTGCTGAATCAGAATATCGAGCTATGGCACAATCTACATGTGAGATCATATGGATAAGCCATTTATTGACCGAGCTCGGACTGAAGACATCAATGCCTGCTAAATTGTGGTGTGATAACCAAGCTGCTATACACATAGCAAACAATCCTGTATTTCATGAGAGAACAAAGCATATTGAGGTCGATTGTCATTTTATTCGAGAGAAGATACAAAAAGGATTGATCTCTACAGGATATGTGAAGACTAGGGAACAACTTGGAGATTTGTTCACTAAAGCACTAAATGGAATTCGAGTTGGTTATTTATGTAACAAGTTGGGCATGATAAATATCTATGCTCCAACTTGAGGGGGAGTGTGAAAGTATATTAGAATATACTTTAGAATATGCTTTAGAATATATTAGGAATATACCATATATAGTATTATTGTATAGCATCTTTTATAGGAATATTCTATCTTTGTAATCTATATAAATAGGGCCTTACCTTCAATGAAACACACAGAAAATCTTTCCTCCACTCTTCAATATTATTCTAGTTTATATTACGAAGTTATTACGGTTTGATATTCTTCTGTAGGAATTGTGATGTTTTCACCATAATATTACTAGATTTCCGGTTTCCTTAGTAGTTTTTTCCCTTTTAAAAAAACATAAAAATGAAGTCTGGAAAAATAGACTACCAAACGTTATGTTCTTTTGTTGACGAATATGATTTGTTGTGTCCTTTTGGTGAAAGTCAGTGCAACAAATTGTGATTTTAAAACATGACTCAATTGAACTCGAAGCTTTAGTATATTCGTTACGTCTCTAGACACAGTGACTGCCATATTGGAACTTCAGGGAAAGAATATTTATGAAGATGGTTGCACAAAGAAAGTACGGTACGAGTCCCTACAAAGGCATTCATCTGCTCTTCCGAGCCAGAAACCCGTCTGCCAGATTTATTGCTACCTGAAAAACAACAGGCTCCCCGTATTACATTGCTTCTAGACCATCTTCCGCCACTTCAAACAGTTCCACTGCAGCCATCTTCGCCGTCAGAAATGCAGCCGCCGCCAACTCCCATGTCTCCGACAACTCTGCTGCCACCACTAGAAAGACTAATGCTGCAACCAACTCCTCTTCCTCAGCAGTTGTTATTACTGGATGGGTCATCTCTACTACATGTCAAGATCACTAAAAAAAACTGCCTTCAATTTCAGATCAGGTAAACCATGCCCTTGCACCTTCTTGTAAGATTTTAAATTGCTTGAATGATCCACAAGTCACACCTGTTTTTGTAGCAGCATTGCAATGGGAAATCTTCTCAAATCAAGTGATGTCACATATGGGTCACGACAATAATTGGTTTGGGAAAACATATGTTGTCACACCTGTAAACATAGGAAATCCAGGAATGCCCCTTCCTGGACTGATGCTCAGACTTTACACTATTCCCATTGGATTAGCGCAATTCGCAGCAAATTATGTATATGAATTGACAATAATCCAAATGATGCTCTTCTAATCATACCATTTGATTGTGGAAAAAATGGACACTATAGGTCACTTCCCCTTACCCCTTACCCCCTACCCACTCCTACCCCCACCTTTACCCTTACCATTACTATTATTTTTCCTATGTTTTCTTTAGGCTGCTTCTTAATTCTAGCTTAGACTTATTTATTCTTACTCTCTATTCCCTAGATCTGAAAAGAGATCCCAACCACGCTCGTAACAGAATCTTCATTAAACCACCTCATCCCATATTTCATACATATACCTAGAGAGAATCCGTGAAGCATGAACTTCTCATTCGCATACCAATCCAAGGGCTGTTTAATTGGGAGATTTCCGAGGGGAGGATTGATTTTTATTTCACTAAATAATCACTATTAGTTAGCCTTAGACTAGAAAATAACGATATCGTTTGTTAAACAATGTACCTCTGTAGAAACTTTCAGCTTAACTTACTTTCCAACAATCTAATGCAAAGAATAAATTAACCAAATCAACCTCACTCCACCCCTTCTCTCCCTTCAACATCCCCTCAACCAAACAAGGGTATGAGGGACTGCCGCTGTTCACTATTGGAAAACTTATCCATAACTAGTGCCACATGTTGTATATACTTTAACTCTTCAAGAAATATGCTTGTTAACCCCTAAAACAGTCCCCATTTAATTGGAAAAAAAGTTTTAAAGAGTCCTCAAATAGTTCGAGTACATTTTATCAAACAAATTACAAGCATGTGAAAATTCACTCTCAGAAAAATGTCCACTTAGTAAATTCATCTAGGAAAACCAATAAGAGGGACGAAACATTAGCTAAAGACATCAAATATTAGCAACAACGGATGCTGATGCACGCTACAGACAATCAAATAGAAGTTTGAGGGGAGTGATCTGATTGATTGATTGATACACTCAAATATGACTGACTTACTGACTATTTTGTTTTCAATTTGATTTTATTACTTTCTTTGGCTTATGTATTTTAGGAAGTGGTTTACTAGGAGATCTTCCTTTCCTTGTTAGGCAATTCTCTGCATTTAATGTCAGTTATAAATGTGAAATTTGCTTTACTAATAAAACATCCAAGCAAGAATTAAGAAGATATCAGGAAGGAAAGCTCCCCAAATGCCATAAGGGACGCAAAACTCCTGAAAAATTCCGGATGGGAGAATCCCAGTACATAACACATAGGGAAAGGGAAAGTTGCCAACCGGATAGACACAATCCCTCCATACTAAAACAAAGTTCCTGGATATCTACTATCCACCAAATTTGCTCATACCAGCCCACCCACTACTACTTTCAACTCTTTTAGTTGTGAGGCTCAAACTCTAATGAAAAAGATTTCAAAAGTGATGATTTCGTATAGCATCCTAAGCATAACTAAGCAATATTAATTGAGTTCAATCTTAAGAACCATAATATATGTTCATATTAAGGTTAAAAAACACTCCGGCATTAAAGATCTCATAAAGTGAACAAGTATGGTTGTCCTCTGCTTGGATGTGCCATTGAACCAAAATTGAGGTTATCCGCTAAAAACCTCAGTTGGGCAGGTGGAAGCAGAGCTGCAGAGTGGGTGTACATGGAGCAGGTAAGCTTTGAAATCCACCACCAATTCACTACCCACACCGGGTTAAAGATTTGACATCCACACCAACCCACTACTCATCAAATCCATACCCATACTCTCTTGAGCTAGGACACAATGTGAAATTGATGAAATTATACCCACATGTCATCCCTAATTGTGTGGTTGGATTATCTTAGAGAAGATAGAAACAATATGAATCAAGACCTTTTCCTTAGAAAGAAAGAGGAGCCTTGTATTGGGACAAATAACATGGGAGATATAAACCTTATTTAAAATGGATGGAGTAATTCATATACCTGTTTTCTCAGTCTCATAGCTTCTTGGCTAAGGTTATCATTGACTTTCTTAGCATCACTCAGTACCATCTTTGGTGAAGTGAGGCCAGCAAGAGTTGGGGTGGGTGTAGTGGAACGAGGTGGACTGGTTCGTCTTGATACCGGAGACGTTGCTCTAGAAACAATTCTTGATCCTGGGACCGAGGCTGAAAAAAATTTCTTTGATGAGCCGAATCCTGGATTGAAAGGTTTAGACAGATTGAGAGGACCCCACTGGGAGGAGCTGCCATTGGGAATAGGTGACACCCGACTGCTATTAAACTCCATCTTCTTCTTTTGCTTGGAAGAGCGGGTTTCCACTTGTTTGAAAGATTCCATTGAAGAAATCCTATTAAGATGAGGTCTTTGCCGTGCTTCCATTCTATTGTCTTTATCAATAGTGTCACTTAGCCCCTGATCCTTCATTCCTCTTCTACTACTCACAGAAAAATGAGGTGAAGCATCAGTTTCAGCAGCTTTTTTAAGCTTATAGAGACAACTATCACACACCCGATATGGTTTATTAGGGTTTGGAGCCATTGAAGCCCTCCGTGATTTCTTACCACTGCATGAATGACAATACACAAGTCCACAATTATAACAGTTATGTCTTTTTCTTTTGAAATTAAAAGGAAGTCGGCAGCCAGAACACATAGATTGATCACTCCCGGAGACCCATTTGTGAAGGCAAATAACCGCAGTAAAATTAGCACCACAAGCAATACTTTTAACCTGCTTATCTTTCAAAGCTTCCACTAACGTCGGTGAATTCCTATCATCCATATCCCCGTGACCTAACCTTCCATTTGCTCCCTTTCCCCATGTAAAAATTTCTGTGCGAGAAGTCAAAGCAGCAACATGGTAAGCACCACAAGCGATCTCCTCCACAAAACTCTTTGTGAGTTTTCCTTCAACACGACATGGGAGTTTCCCATCAGATTGAGGATTTCCTAACTGCCCATAAACGGGACTGCCCATAGAGTAGACATGACCCGAAGTGGTCAGAGCAATAGTTAGGCTATGTCCACAAGCAACCTGACAAAAATTGAGTTCAACTAGGGCAGCAACACATGTCGGTACAAGTCTGGACTCCCTGTCACCATGTCCTAGCCGACCCTTATCACCGTCCCCCCATGTAAATAGTTTGCCCAAAGAACAATTGCTTGAACTTGAGTTTCCAACCATGACCTCTACAACAGCAGCAGTATGCCAAACTCCACAAGAGACTCTCACAGTTCTAAGTCCCTTTAGAGAATCCACTTCCCTAGGTTTGAAAATGTTTTTCCGGTCTCCATGCCCAAGAACTCCAAAAGTGCCATCGCCGAAAGTAAACAATTGCCCAGAAGATGTCACAACCCCGGTGTGCCAGGGCCCACAAGCAATACATGATACATGTATACCCTCCATAGGGCCATTAACTCTTTTTGGGATCCAATGGCTTACTTCATTCCCATGCCCAAGAAGACCAAAATGACCATCACCCCACGTGTAGAGATCACCAGAAAGTGTTACTGCACAGCTATGATGTTCGCCACATGCAACGAGCTCGATGCTTGTATTTCCTAGAGCATCTATAAGCTTTGGTTGCAAAACATCAGAATCAACTCCATGTCCAAGCCTTCCTCCGGATTCCTCACCCCAAGAAAATATCTCTCCTTGCTTTGAAACTAGGGCAGCATGTTGACCACCACAAGCGATATTCGCTACATCGAGTACAACAGCAGATTCTAAAGCCTTGGGCAACAAAGAATCCACTTTACCTCCAAAACAGCTTCCCACTTTATGGGGTCCACCACCCAATACACCATCTCCTGTACCCTCTCCCCATATAAAAACATCACCCAAAGCATCACTGTCATCATGCCCCGAACCTTGACTTGACGAGCTAACAGCACTTGAAAGGCTTACTCTAAAAGCATCCATCCCTGTTGTCTTTATATGACCATGTACTCCGTCTGGACCTCCAGAAGATAAGAAATGAACAGAACCACTAACAGAATCTGAAGGGAAAACCCCTTTGGGAGGTAAGAGCATCACATCAGGAAGTGCCTTTTCAAGAACATTTTCAGGTGGGCTTTCATATGGACTATGAAGCCGTAGCTGATCACCGACATCCTAATTCAGAGATGTAAATATTAATTCAAAGTTTTACAAGGAAATGTCTTTTTTAGACAGAGTTAATGTTTGTGTGTGTAATCTATGAAAACTAAACTTGGTAAATAACATTTGCATCAGACATCACCATATACATGAGAGAACGTGTATATAGGAAGGTCTATACCTTCTGCAGGCTATCACCACTACCAAATGGAGAATGCAGCGGAGAACTTTGTGTGCAAGTCCTGGGACTATTAGTGCCAGACAAAATCCCATCACTTCTTGATTCTGTTCTCCACTTTCGCTGGTGACAACGTGAAATCAGTGCCTTCAAACCGCTGAACCAGACCTCCGCCTCCTCTTTATCTTTACATATCTGAAATAAGAAAGAGAAAACAAATGTGACATCTATCCATTATTTAACCTGAAAATGGCACACATAGATGGAAACTCACCAAATCCAGTGACCTGTCATTGTATATTAGGGAAAATGATTGGTACTCCTTCTCAGGTCTTGGGTACCTTTGGAAAATGGGCTGGCAAAGAATAAAATTGAAGCTTTAAATAATCCAGGCTGACAAAAAAATCACTGCAACCTATAAACAAAATAGAAAAGTAATATTGAGTAACCAATCAACCATTTGTAGATTGAGATATCCCAATCCACTAAAGTGCATCCCATGTCACGGAACTAGAGAGGAGCGAAAGATTAATGACACTAGATCAGAAGTATCATATGCTTAGCAATGGTAGAGATAAGGTTTGAACTTTGAACTAATAGTATTATGGTGAGGTGTTTAAATTACAAAGGAGCTAGAGAGCTGAAGAACAATATGGTGACCTATAGTCCTAGAGGATACAATAGCAAGTGATCTGTATTTAAGCCTAAGGCTGTGTATATACTATATAGTAGGAAAAGGGGTCGTTATGCTGAAGTCACAAACATGTGAGTTGTGACTAAGCAGACTTTCGGACTGCGATGTGGCGGAGGCATGCCAATATGCCATACACAATAACATCAGACAATGCTGCGTTGCCAACCTCCTCTCAAATGCTTACTCGTCTTAATCCTCGAGTGCATGTGTCCAAATTCACACATTGTCAAACATCCTGGCCATCAGGCATTGCCGGTCCAACATCATTGAGTCCACAGGGCCAATGTTATTGGGATATGAGATTGGGGGCTTGGGCCCAGACCACAACAATTAGTGCTCACTCATATCATAATTTTATGTAATTTAAGTTGTTTATTAGCTTATGTCTTGAACAAGCACTGCCACAGAAGTTTCACAAGTAAGAGCTTATTAGAATAGATGCAGTATTCCTAACAGAGCTGCATGCATTTCTTCGAGTTGTAACTGATTTGCTATTAGATTCTCTGTAGTGCAGGAAACTTACTGTGCGCTGTCCAGATATTATTCTGGAAACATGAATCAGTTTAAGATATTTCTCCTCTTTACCTGAAAACCATATTAGAGCAGACTCGTCCTGAAACCACCACCAAGATAAGAATCTTCTGAGATTTTGACATAAGCAACAGAACATATGAAGAAGTGTTAACTGTTAAAAGGTAAAAGCTAGAGTGCTAGACTATAATAATATCAAAGAGAGCATGAAGAATGTTGTAACTATTGACCTTTGAGTAACCTTACTATGAGAGCACCATAAAGAAGCCATGAGCCCATGACATTAACACAATCGCCGCCCACCCCCATGACCCACACAAACAGCCATTATATAAAAAGGAATTGCCCTAAATAGGAGTAAAAACAATGTAAAATTCCAAAATAGGAGTACTATGTTTTCCCTAAATAGGATTAATTATTGTCATGCTTGGAGAACACTGTCAATTATGGAAATAATAATACTCCCATATTAATGTCTGGAAATGCCAAAATATGGCAATATGGTTTCAGGGTGACAGTAATTTACTCCTCTTTTGAGGAAAACACAGTACTCCTATTTTGGATGGGCATTGTTTTTTCTCCTATTTTGAGAAATTTCGCTTAAATAAACATATACTACCTCAGTCCCTTAACACTTTGCCAAGTTTGACCGGCACGGAGAATAATAAAGTAAAAACTTTGTGGTTAATGTTTGTGAGAGGGAAAGTTTTTTGGAACGTCCCAAAAAGGAAAGATGGCAAAGTTTTAAGGGACGGATGGAGTATTATGCAAATGAAATAACTATTGCTTATTCATTGGAGAAGTTAGAGCAAGGCAAGCAGTGAAGTATCTAATAATAATGTTATAAAAGCAAAACACTACACAGCTATTACTAGATATGCCTTTCTGCAATACATGCTCCATGAAAATATAAAACTAATTATTGCAAAAGCTGTAGGAAAAATAAGACAACTACAATAGATCCATCTTATAAAAAGAAAATTAGGTAGAAAGCATGTGTAGTTTTGACTTTTAACACTCTAACTAAGACCTATCAAAGATGGGAGACATAAACAGAATATAAGGTTAAGAACAACATGCACAACCCAATAACCGCAAAATGAAACTTACATTTGCCAATCGGAATGGGCAGAACTTGGGCTTCCCTCTTCTTCCATACTTAAGCAAACAAGCCCCCTTTTTAAGAGCTATTATAGCCTGTTTAAACATCAGCTATATTCTTATTAAGATGCCCAAGTAAATCTATAGCCAGAAATAATATAAGCATTTAACTTTCTAAAAATGGGACCAAACATAAAGAAGAGGTAATCAATACACTTTCACAGTAACCAAGATCAGGTATCAAAAAAACTCTACATCCCATGCTTCATTTCTTCTAGTGGTCAGTTTTACCAGTATAACAATATTCAAATGATGATGTTATTCATGTTAAAGAGTATGAGTTTTGGTACTTAAGTATAGTGATCAACAAACAACATAATAAGCATTCAATGCATAAATCCAGAAGCTTGAAAGGATTAAATAAATATTTGGAGGTTGCATTAAGAACATGGTTTGACTTTTCACGCATATGATACTAAAATTAAATAAAATTTCAATTATGTGAATAAATACATAGCAACTAGTAACTAACCCAAAACTAAATATATAATAAAAAAATAAAAAATGAAATTAATAAGCAAGATAGAGATAATGATATAGCTCCGCCATGAGATCATTTTGGAATCATGCATGTCCCAGGTCAGGATAGAGGAGGAAGGTGATGTGGCAGACACGTGATGGAGAACAGAATCACTTAGTCACATCACATGACATAATCGAAATATGAATTAGATGACAAGGAGATACCGGTGTGTGATATGTTCCGTTACTTGGACTCCATAATTCAAAAGGATGATGAATTAGTTGAAGATGTATCCCATTGAATCAGAGCAGGGTAGATGAAATGGAAGTGCATCAGGATTTCTATGTGATGGAGGTATTTCGACTAGATTGAAAGGTAAATAGAGAAAACATCAATTAGACTTGCATTAATGTATGGCATAGAGTATGGCACTATTGTATGACATAGAGTGTTGGACGGTGAAACAATGTAAGATTCAAAAGATGAGTGTGACAGAGATGCGTATGTTGCGTTATATGCGTGGACATACAAGAAAAAACTACTTGAGGAATAAGATAAGAAAATTCGACAAAAGGTGGGAGTAGCACCTATAGACGATAAGATGCAGGAGTCTCGATTATTGTGGTTTTGTCATGTGCGCAGAAGACCAAGTGATGTGTCTGTTGGACGACTCGAGAGGTAAGGAGAAGAGGCGAGGAAGAGAGAAGAAGACCTAAACAGACTTAGATTATAGGAATCAGAATTATGCTCTCCTTTTCTATGTTTCTTATGGGGGGTTGGATTAGAGTATGGCTATGGAGAGAGCAAAGTGGAGAAGAGTCAGGTGGACGATCGATATCTTCTCTCTCCTTTTCTTTTGTTTTTTTAACTTATTTATCTTCCTATATTCTTATGTTATTTTTTTTATTTTTCTTATGCTCTTTTCATTTTTTTTTCTTTTATCATTCTTATGTTCTTATGTTATTTTTATCTTATATTTATCTTTATTTAATCCATTTTATCTTACTTTATCTTTTTATTCTTCTTATATTTTTTATATATTTTTTGTTTTGATATTATGGATCCATCATGTTAGCCAACCCAAAATCATTTGAGAATAAGGCTTGAATGTTGTTGTTGTATAGAGATATATACAGAAAGTAACTAGACTCCATGTTGTACTTGGTATTTGTTAGGTTTCTAGTACGAATACAACTCTCCACATCCAACCCTTACTCGGAGTCCCTCCAGCTCGAAGGCAACTCTTCCTGATTCTAAACTAGAATAGAACGAAACAGAGAGGAAGATAGTTAGGTACCTGCTCGATGTCCCTCTCAACAGGTCCACCGGGTCTGCCGAAATCAAAGGAGCTCATCCTACACGAGCTGCGCGAAACGCGAGAAACGTAGCACAGGTCTAAGTGTATTGAAATAATACCCCCAAATCCTACTCATTTTCCAGTCCAATCTTTTCCCATTCCACACGGAATTCACTTATCAACCAATCAACTGCTCCGATTACAAGCTCATGAAGCTTAGGAGCTCAAACGCCGCAATCAACACCACCTCAACATTTCACAGGGCAATAACCACATATGTTTAGGCAGACGGAGACGATGACGATAGAGGGAGTGCCAATTGAGAAGCTGCCTTCCACTCCGAAGCAGTAGAGATCAGCGAAGGAAGGAGAGTCAGTGTGCCTGGATCTGATTTTCAGTGTAGCAGGAGCAGCTTCCACTCCGAAGCAGTAGAGATCAGGGAAGGAAGGAGAGTCAGTGCCTGGATCTGATTTTCAGTGTAGCAGGAGAGAGGAATAGTAATTCTGCTTCTGCTTTAAAAAAAAGCATAATCAGAATTAATTCCAAACACCCCTAAAACAATCACGAAAAATTAATCAAAATCACGTAGAATGCAATATTATACGGTTTGTAGACACGGTCAAATTGTTCTATTATACTACCTTCGTAACTCTAGAATCTTCCCAGTTTGACTCTTTTGGGTCAAGTTTTATAAACTTTGATCATTAATTATTCAAAATCACATTATGTTATGATTAAAAATTTATTTCATATGCCTCATTGTGAAACATATTATTTGAATGTTAATTTATTATGAATTTTATAAATATAGATATGTAGATATTTAGAGTCAAAGTTCAACTTAAAAAACCGTGAAAAGTCAAAATGGGAAGATCTTTGTGTTACGGAGGTAGTAGATAATTTGAGCGGTGCTTTATGGAAAAAAATGGATTTCCATTTGTCTGTGTACATATAATTTAAATTGCTTGTATACAGACAATTTAAATTGCATGTGTACAAACAATTTAAATTGTTTGTGGCACATAAAAAATAAATTTGTCTGTGTCGAAATCGGTTTTATTCATATAACACCGGTCAAATTATCTGTACACAGACAACTTGATCGGGCATGTAAACCGGCTTCTACTTTATGTTTATGCACTCTATTGTCCAGCCCTTATATCCTACATCCACGATGTAGGTACATCTACTCTAACTAATGAAGCCAACCCATAAATTAATACAGTCCTATTTTTTCGATGGCATTTTGTAATTTAATCAAAAAATCGTGAGTTCCCCTAAATGAGCATTAGTGTACTTTAAGTGAGCATCTGACCTGTTTTATTGAGTATTAAGAGACTAACAATGAGCATCACGATCTCCACTTCATATCTTCTACTTCAATTTTTTTCTTTTTTATTCTTTTATAAAAACTTATTGTTTTATATCTATAGTACACTCTTATTAATTTCTATATGAGAATTTAATGTAATATGATACTTTTGAAACAGCGACAACAACATCCAAGCTTCAATCCCAAATGTGGACTTGGACATTTCAGCAATCAAGTATCGCGCAAGCTACCGCCACGTCATAGCACTACATGAAGGCCACATCATTCTGACAGTTAAAGAATTAAGAGTGTTCTCGATGGTACACGTGTAGCACACCTGTGTGTTCTGGTAGAATTCTGTTACACACAGTACCAATCAGCTAGTTGTCTCAAGTATCTCTCCAATCACCTTTGCACGTGTCACCACACCATTAGACTAGTACATGTATTATGTTAGACAGGTGTGACACGTGTCTTCACCACAATAGAATATCATCTTTTTACTGGTTGGCCATGTATTTACCCCTTAGTATAAATATCATATTCCAACCCGTGGAAAGGGATTCGAAATTCTCTGTGCAAACTTGTTGTTACTCTGCTCAAATTTCCACCTAATCTTACTTAGCACTTTTCAGTCTCTCCGCTATTCTCGGATCCCGGCTATCCCCAGGTCGGCCATCCATCACCAATATATAAAAACCGAACATAAAATCTATTAGTAAATTGTTTAAAGATAAAACTTAGAAAATAACAAACGAAATCAAGAATTCCTTAATTCAAGTAGCATCAAAGCTATTTAAATCAATGCAAAAAAGAACTATTATACAAAATAAAACATAGGGAGAACTATATTGGAATGGATTACCTCATTCCATGGAATAATAATAATATATGCATTCCTTATTTATCTATTACGTATCATTCCTATGGATTTGATCATCCTATTTATCACTTATTTTCTCTCCTTTTTATCTCTTTTATTTCCTTATTCCCAGCTCTTGTATTGTATAAAAGCTGCCTTTGCTCCTTGTATTGTGATACACGACTATGGAATAATACGACAGCTTTGTCCATTCATTTTGTTATGGTATCAGAGCAGGTCCCTCAACTGCTCTCCGAAAATCCCTAGAAACCGCTGGAGACGTTATAGCAAGCCACAACACTCACCATGGCTGGAGACGAAGACACTTCAGAAAGGACTGACAACAACGTCACCGACTACAACTCACCTTATTACCTTCACCCATCTGATTATCCAAGACAAATGCATGTTAATGATGCTTTGTCTGATAAGAATTATACAGATTGGGTGCAGAAAATCAAAAACTTCTTGTTTGCAAAAAACAAGATAGGTTTCATTGATGGTACGATCAAGAACCGGAGAAAACATCGAAGGATTACATGGCATGGATGAGATGTGATGCCATGATAAAAGGGTGGCTTACCACAGCCATCTAAAAGGATATAAGGAGCAGCGTCAAATACGCAAACACAGCATCAGAGATCTGGACGGATCTTCGCGAAAGGTTTGGAAAAGAAAGCGCGCCAAGAGCATATGAACTGAAGAACCAACTGGCTGCCACTCATCAAGATGGAACCTCCGTATCTGCTTATTACACCAAGCTTCGGTCACTATGGGACGAAATCCAGTTAGTGTTTCCCACACCACAATGTACTTGCAAAGGGTGCACCTGTGATATAGGGAAGCGACTAATCGAGCACCAAGAAAAGGAGAAACTTTATGAATTCCTTATGGGACTTGATGTTGAGTTTTCTGTAATTAAGACACAGATTCTTGCCACATCACCCATGCCGGTTTTGGGATCGGCTTATCACCTTGTTGCTGAGGATGAACGTCAAAGGGCCATCACTGGTGACAAGAAAGCCCCCGATGGAGACAGTAGCTTTTAAGGCTTTTGTACCTTCCAAGCAAGATGGAAACTTCGGACAACAGAAGAGTAAGTTTAATCAGAAACATATCAAACGAGATATAGAAGCCTAACATTGCACCTTTTGCAACAAGGATGGTCACAATCGTGATGGGTGTTTCAAGCGCATCGGATATCCGGAATGGTGGCCGGGAAAAGCTAAAACAGACATAGGCAAACCAAGAGTTGCTTGTATCAAGACAGAAACTAGTCCAATTCCCGGACTCATGATGGATCAATATAAGATTTTTTTGGAGCATTTTGGAAAAGGAACCAAACTTGATGATGAAGGTGTTGCATCGGTAGCTAACATGACAGGTAGAATAAATGACGAGGAAGACTGGGTTGTGGATTCGGGGGCGACTGAACACACCACTTATAGAGCCGACATTCTTGTAAATAAAAGAAAAAAGGTCTATGAGAGACCTGTTATGATTCCTAATGGCGATACCATTCCAGTTGAAGGAAGGGGTGGTTACACCTTGCCGGGTGGTGCTAAAATTGAAGGAATCCTTCATGTTCCCCAGTTTAACTGCAACCTCTTATCCGTGAGCCGTCTAACCAAAAATCTCCAATGTACAGTAACTTTTTTCCTGAATTTTTGTGTTGTGCAGGGACTGCAGTCGAAGAACTTGATTGGTGCGGGTGATTGCGAAGGGGATTGTATCGAATGAAGATTTTTGAAGATGAAAGAAAAGTTATGTCTGTCACGGTAGAAAGATGGCACAAGAGATTGGGCCATGCCTCTGAAGGAAAACTCAGCAAAGTAGATTTCCTCAAAAATGTTTCTCTTAGCTTCAAAATAACGTGTGTGATTCTTGTTCCAAGGCCAAACATGTCAGGTCTCCTTTTCCTTTGAGTAGAATAAAAACTAAAGAAAGTTTTGAGCTAATACATTGTGATGTTCGGGGAAAGTATCGAACACCTTCACTCTCCGGAGCAAATTATTTTTTGAGCATCGTTGATGATTTCAGCAGATCTACTTGGATTTTCTTAATCAAACACAAAAGTGATGCTAGCAGATGTTTGATTGAATTCCATAAAATGATTGAAAATCAATTTAAAAAACGCATTAAAAGGATAAGAAGTGATAATGGTGGTGAGTTCACTTCTAATTTCATGGTTGATTTTTATAATCAACATGGAATCCTACTTGAAACTACATGTCCTCACACACCTCAACAAAATGGGGTGGTGGAACGTAAACACAGACACTTGCTTGATACGGCTCGAGCTCTAAGATTTGAAGCAAAATTGCCGAAGAAGTTTTGGGGAGTGCATTTTGATGGCAGCTTATATCATCAACCGGTTGCCATCCAAAACTCTCTCAAATAAGACTCCATATGAAATGTTATTCGGCCAAAATCCTGACTATGATCATATGAGGGTTTTGGTTGCTTACCATATTACAGGAGCAATGAAACAAAGGAGGATAAGTTTGAAATGAGGGGAAGACCTGGGGTTTTCTTAGGTTACCCACAAGGAACGAAAGGCTACAAAATACTTGACATGGAAAAAGGGAAAGTCGTTGTTTCAAGAGAGATTAAGTTTCATGAAGAAATCTTTCCTTTCTCTACCCGTACAACCCAAGGCAGTGGTGGACTAGATGATGTGTTAGAAATTGGGTCAAGACAGTTTGATCAAGAGGAAGAGCACGAAGAACAATTTGGAGAGTCTGGAGGACAACATAGGGGTGAACATGCACCACCTAGCCCACACCCGGGAAACTTGCAGAGTGAAGATGAGCATGATAGCTCACAAACTAGAATGGAATCCATTAACACAGAAAGTTTGAGTAGTGGCTCTCATGTAGAAACACCAGAAGTTGAGACCATAATTGCTAGACCACAAAGAAATCGCATTGCTCTAAGACGCTTGGATGACTACGTTGTAGTGCTGCCCCCTTCGGTTGATCACAAACAAACCACATCAAATCAAGGGCCTT